TCGGGATGGCCTGCAGAGCATGGGATGTGTGCTATGATGTGACATTTCAGGTGGCACCATCTGGCTTAAGTGTCACCCAGCACTTCCCATGACAGTTCTACTCATCATGTAGCCAACATACAGAATGCATTCTGCTACTGGCCCGTGAGCACCCACATGCACCAGATCTCCTCCTGCACCCACAGCACACTCTTCCCAAGGGTGGAGGGGTGAAGGCACTCTTCCTTTTTCCCAGCACACAGGAGAACTTCCTGTCTTCTACTCAGATGAATGTGAGGAGATCACTCTTGTCCCTTTTGTGGGCCTCACCATGGGAAGGGGATAAAGTACTCTGCCTTTAGTCTTTTTCTTCCTAAAATAGGAGTCTTCCAGCTCTGATCCAAACACTGAGATCCTCCTCAGAGCTCCTGTTTAGGGACTAATGATGCCCAGAATGGGAAAAACAAGCCAAGCTGTCACTTTTCTTCCTGTGTCATCCTTTGCTGGATATCAGGTCCCTGTGCTCTCTGGCTGCTTTCTCCTGTCTTAGCTTCCTCATCCTTGTTCTTACCAGCCCTGTCCTTGATGGAGCTCGACTTGTTGTTTAACCCATTGGCTCCCTCTCCTTCCCTTCCTCCCTTATTACTTTGTGTCTCTGGTTCCTCTGCAATGTCTTCCTCATCTTCCTCTGTTCTGGAGCAGCTGTGGAGATCAGACCTGTCTTCTCCCAAATCCTTGCCCAGAGCCACTCCTGCCCTTAGGTTTGGAAGTCAGGTACAGAATAGGCAGTAACCTGTGCTGATAGCCCTAACATGGGCAATTCCACTTTCCTCACCCTTTCCTCAAGCAAAGCCCACAGCTGCCAACAGTACTTATTAATGCTGATTAGCCTGACTAATGAGACTTTTGTGCACACATTTGAGGGACAGCAAAACCCAGAGGGACAAGGAAGGAAGAAATTGCCTTTGCACATGGCTGTGCTGTTTCCTCTTGGCAGTTATCAGATGGTTGTGGAGAGAGGGCAGAGCTTGCTCAGGGCCCAGGAGGAAGCTAGTCTGGCAGATAATCCCATGTGTGGAGTCAGGGTTTCCTTTACTGGTACAGAACTGGAGATTTTCAGCTTTGCTGTGCCCTGATGTGTTTGCAGTGTGACTAGGGGCTGAGTATTCTCCATCTCTGCCTTGCTACAGGTTTCCGGGCTGTAATAGGAAAAGATTTGCAAAGACAGAAGTGCTTTGAAACATGGGCTGTGCTGATGCAATTCGGATGAGATACACAGCAGGGAGAGAAATAGGCTCAACTATTCCTGGATAGCCATTCCCTGGCATGCCAACAGACTACTGACATCTGTGTGTTGTGACTCAGCTCATGGCTAGCACAGATCTCGTGTCCCAGGAATGGCTGAGATCCCAAGAATACAAGATTTTTCACCATCTTTGCTAGCCTTTGGGCAGCTGGTAGAAGAGGATATTTCTAATTCACTTTATAGGATTTTAGATGCACAAGAGAATCACAGCACATCAAAGAGGAATGAATGCTGTAATTCCCTGAAAGGTCAGGGCATTTTATAGAGCTCTGTATTGCTGTTAAGCTCTTTAGGGAATGCTGTATTCTGTCTACTGCAGACTTGGTGGTGGTAGCATGACATGCAATGCCTATCCATCCTGATTACTATTTCAGCCTCTGGGGGATGATCCAGATCCTCAAAGACTGTTAAGTGCCAGATTTAATTCGAAATCATTGGGAATTTGGCATCTAAATCTTTAAATACTCTGCATACAAAACTGTCCTGCAAAAGCTGTGTGTGCTTTTCCTTAGCAGTCTTTGCATATATTTAATGGTGCATGGAATCACTCACATTGCCCTGTTGTGTTGTATGTGGCTGTTCTCATCAGAGTAAGGGTGGGCTGGGGATAGGAGCAGGGTTGTTTCAATCCCTGTTGCTGTTCACTAAGAGGCAACCCAAGGAGATACCCTGAGCAGAAGGATGGTGCAGATCAAGGGATAAGACACTTTTGCCCCAATCTCCAGAAGCACAGAGAACTGAGGGATGCTGCAGCAGCAATGAGAACTGGCAGGTGGCAGGTGCCCATGAACACTGTGCTGTTTTGGGGGAGTATTTCTGAGGACAGATGAGTTTTGTCTTCTGATTTTCAGCTTTGTGCCCTGAGCACGAACAGGTGACTTTAAATAGGACTGAAGTTTAGCAAGAGCTCCACTGTGAGGTAAAGCAATATATGTAAACAGTATGGATTAAATAAAGAGCACAAAAAGTCACAAAAAGTAGGTTAGTTTGTAAGGAATTTAGCCTCTTTCCAATTTTTGGAGACTCTGTTCTTGGTAAGGGACCAGACCCTGCTTTTAAGCTGATACAAAATGAAGGAGGACCACTGAAAGCTCTGGCATTATGAAATAAAGAGAATTATCCAGTCTCAGGTGGCTTTTATGGGGAGTGAATAATACACTGACAGTAAAGGCAATTCAGACTACCACAAGTGAAGTTTACAGCAGAAAGACAGAGTTTCAACTGAGACGCTGTGTAGCAACTTAAAAAAAATCTAAGCGATTTTATACTTACCTCAAATGCACAACTGCATTGAGGAAGATGTGAAGATATTTCTGCATATGGCAAAAATACTGTTGATAGCAAGAGAATGGGAGGTGTGAAGCTGTTGGTTGTTGGAACAAAGACACTGGAACAAGCTTTGCACAGAGTCTTCACATTTCCTCTGAGTAGACTTGGCAAAAGACAGTGCTGTTAACAGCTCTGTATATGTGACACATATTTTCATTACAAACAGCTTAGATGGCATGTAATGGTCTGAGCATGTGTTGTGGGTTGGTGGGCATGAGGTTTTGAGGGTTTTCAGATAAGTGCAGACCTTTTAGGCATCAAATGATTTTCTCTATATGAGGGGTTGATGGAAAACAGTGGCTGAAGTGTGAAGTGGCCAACCTGGGCAGGGCCTGATCCCTGTGTGTGCTGATGCATCATTTAGCAGAGGTGTTGGCTGTGAGGTGCCTGTGTCAGTGATTTACAGAAGGTTAAGGAAATAGATGAGACAGAAGACAAACACACTACAATTGGGCCCTGGGAACACTCACCATGTTCATGGCCATGTCTAGAACAGGAAGCAATGCCTGGGACAACAGTCTTACCTCCCATGGGATAGTGACACAGTGTTGGTGGCCCTCATCATGACCTCTTGGGAGGAAAATCCTCTACAGAGGAATAGAGCTCTCAGCAGAAGGGCACTGGGTTAGTGGTATTGCCTGGGAAAGAGGTCACACTCCTAGTGATGGCAATTGCTGTGCCCCAGGACAATAAAGAGCTTGAGTTAATGGACCAAATGGAGCTCACGGTGTCACTCAGCTGGGAGCTCTCTGCTTCCATGACCTAAATCACTCTCCGTGGTCTCCACTGACTGGAACAGGGACACCCAGTTCCCTGTATTGCAGTGATGTTGACTGTTCAAATTTTATTCACATTGGATTGGTCAGGGAAACAGGTTAGGGGAAACATATATGTGTTGCAAGAGGCAAACTCTTGCAAACTCCATTGCATTGGTTGTGTTGTGTTCCTATGAAATGGAGATGGCTGTCCCATGATCAGATCCCAGGGAAGCAGAGTACTCTAGGTTGCTCTAGCTTGGTCCAGTCTTAAATCCTGCCCTTCTGGTAACACCAGTGAGTGTCAGGAAAAACTTGAGGAACACAATGTCAGCTGGAGCAGCAATAGGCATGTGAGTGAGGAGACATGCTGGTAACACCAGTGAGTGTCAGGAAAAGCTGTTCACTAAACTTGAGGAACACAATGCCAGCTGGAGCAGCAATAGGTATGTGAGTGAGGAGACATAGAGCAGCAACAGTTTCTGCTGTTCATGCTGCAGGTTTTGCTCTTTTCCTAGAATTTTTTTTTTTTTTTGTATTCACATTGCTTCATTCTTACAATGCCACCTAAAACATCTACCCACCACTGTGGACAGAATTTTGCAGCATCCTTAGCTTCACATATCTTTTAAGCATGGCTTAAATCATCCTAGTGACTTTGTACTGGGGTGAATTTCAGCCTATATGCCTGACATGGATTCTTTTTCTGTGCTTGAAAGTATCAGCATTTAAGTGACTGAGTGGGTAGACTGATAATGGGAATTAAGACAGCAAGCCCTGATTTTACAAGATGCTAGGAAGAAAAATCAAGCTAGAGTAGTATAACATCATAGTCTGGTTCTGCTTTTCCTCTTGGCTGTTCTTCAGGGAGACAGAGCAGAACAGCAGAGTTTGCTGGGAAGCATGTTCATCTTCACAGATTTTTGTATGCTCATCTGCAGTTTAGGAGATTTTGTGATCCAAATACAGGTGGAAAATATCCTTAACCTCTTCCCAAGCCCAGACAATGTGTATGAAAATACATACAGGCACATGTTTGGGTTTTTTTCTTAGAGCTGAGAGGAGACTTCAGTGGTTGACTTCATCTCCTCTTCCCTGAGAAGGTTCAGACTCTTTCAGGAACAAATGAGTAGTTACTAGTGATATGTGGGTTAGAATACTTTCTTTCCCATTCCATTGGCATCTCAAATCTTTGTAGTGGATAGCTCTGGAAACATCCCTTTTATCCTTTATTCTTAAGCACATGCCCAAGGCACAAAAATCTTTCATTACAAACCAGAGATATGCTACTTTCCGAGTCATCCTAGAAGAGTTGCACTATAATGTCAAACCCAAAAAGAAAACCACAGTAAAGAATTTGTTGCTAGCAAAATGTCTGTATTAAAATACAAAGAAAACTTCCCTTTGGGGAACAGTAATTAATAGACTCTCTTTTGTATTAGTACTAACAGCATTGCAAGTTCCATTTTCCAAACAGACCACAATGTTCTTGAGGAATGAATTCCATCACTGTCGGTCTGAACCTTGGCCTTAAAAAAAAAAAAGAGTTCAAAGAAAATAGTATGGTGCATCCTAGCAATATTCCAGCATCGTGGCACTGGCTTACTGCAGCGTGTGCCATCAGATGTGGGTTATATCTGGACACTGCTGGGTGATGGCAAGCTCACAGGACTTCCTATTGTGTTTGAGAAGGCAATGATTGCATTGGTGCCCTTGGAGTTCTTATTCGTTCCTTGGATGTCCATGTTGGTTTGCTCTGGCTCGGTTTTCCTGAAGATGTTTTTCATGGTTGACTGGAAGTTATTGGTGACAAAGCAATAGACAATGGGGTCCATGCAGCTGTTGAGACTACTGAGAGTCACTGTCACATGGTAGACAAGGAGGCTGACGTTATGCGGCATGTCTGGGTTGACGGAGATTGCGACCTGTCGCACGTGAAAAGGGGTGAAGCAGATCATGAAGATAATGAGGACAGTGATAAGGAGCTGCACAGCCCTCATTCTCCTCTCCCGACTCTGGTGCATGAGGCTGGGCTTGGACAGAGCACACATAATCCTGGTGGTGAAGAAGATGATAATGATGAGGGGGAAGAAGTACTCGCAGACCATCAGGACCAGAATCTTGGAGAGGCAGCATGCAGAAAACTTTATTGCCATGGTCAGAATGGAGAAAGTCACCACAGTGGCAAAGAGCCAAATGAAGACACAGATCCCCTTGGCACAGGTGGGATTCCTCCATTTACGTGAGGCCTCCACCTGTACAATTGCCAGGTAGCGATCGACGCAGATGCACGTCAAGAACAGGATGCTGCAGTACATGTTGACAAAGTAGCCAAAGATATGAACCAAGGAACAATTTGGGCAGTCCCCTGCACTGTAGAACATGATGATCCGGACAGGCAGGGAAAAGCCCACCAAGAGATCAGTAATGATCAAGTTGATGGTGTAAATAACAGAAGTGGTTTTTGTCTTGGTACGGAAGCAGAAGACGTACAGTGCCAAGCTGTTCAGCACAACACCCACCAGGAAAATGATGGCATTGGCCACCATCAGGACAATCCACAGGCTGTAAAATTCTGTGGACAGTTCTTTGTCAGAGTGGATGAAGTTGGAGAACCAGTAGATGCTGGGCTGCTGTGTGGAGTTGATAGAGTCAAGGGCTGGCAATTGGGTGGAGGAGGTCGGCATGGTCACTGACTTCCAGTGATCTGGAAGAAAAGGAGCAGAGGTGTATTTATAGGTATGTCAACATTACTTTGGGCTCAAAATCTTGTCACCTAAGAACATTTTAACCAACACATTTGTACATCCTAAGCAGTAGAGCCCCATCTGCCAATGTGGGATTACCAGCAATCACAAGGAAAATACATGGGTTTATAATTGCTCTCTTCCAGTGGTTCCAGTTGCATGTTTTGGAGAAGGCACACAATCCCCACTTCAAGTTACTCTTCCTCTTCCCTGTGCAAAAGTGGTTTTAAGGCCAGAAGACTTTTGCCCAAACATAGCATCTGACTCCTAAAATATTATATCCCTTGCCTTGGGCAGGTGATCCCATTAGAGAGTAACTTGCAGCAGGATTTTCAGGAACTGCAAGACATTCCTGAAATCAAAGGATGTCTGATTTTTCCAGGAAAGCAGAAGCAGGTTTTGTGGCATCTTCTAGAGGTCTTCACTCACAACAACAGCAGCCGGGTGATTTCAAGCTAAGGGCATCAGCCACTACTCCTGCCAGGGTTTGACAGTTTAATTTGCAAATCATTCCTGACTTATACACTATTTTAAACTGATTTGTATATTAAAAAGATAAAAAAAAAAGGCCAAATATATACAGAGACTTGGCTGGTTTCAATAAAAATAAATGGTTGAAAAATGTCTGGAATATCTCAAAGTGGCTGGGCAAGACTTTGAGATTAAAAAAAATCAGCTGGAATCAGCAGAGAATGATGCTGAAAGACTGGATTTATGAGGGTTTGAAATCCCTGCTACCAATGAGCCAAATGCGGAAGGAGTAGGAGATGAGGAGCTGCAGACACATCTCCCAGAGCTTACAGGATCTGCAGTGTGTCTGGGCTGTGTGTCTCAGTGTGGAAGGCTTGAATTGCTAAAGGAGTCTGGATGTCCAGCTCCCTGAAGCATGTTCCATCTTCTGGGAGCTGTCTTTCTGCCTTCACTAATCCTTTTTGCTGCTTATGGGGATCAGGAGGAGGGACCAAAGGTGTCCCGTTGCCTGTGAGATGCTTCAAGCTGTTGGTGGCCCACGTACAAAGCAGAAGAAGAAACTATCTAGGACAGAAGCCTTCCAGTGAGAAGTAGATCCTCAGGAGAGCTCCTGCTGGCCAAAAGCAAATGTTCTGCAGGGGCAGTTTTATCTGGGTCCAGAGAATGTCACAGCAGCTCTGAGCCTGCATGAAGAGTTTCAAAGTTTTTCCTGCCTGGCCACCAAAAGCTTCCTTGTTGGACTAATGAATTATAAATCCTCCACACCTCCTGACAAAACTTCCAGCTGTCTGGGGAAAAGAGCTGTGGAACTGAGATTCAGGAGAATTGATTCCCAAGTCTCTGTGCATTTACTGGATACAGCACTCCTGACATGTCTCATCAGTGTTTGGTCAATAGTCAGCATTCAAGATCAAGAGTCCTCATGGGATGCTACAGCCTAGTTGTGATTATACTGTATGTTTCATTCAAGCCAGGTGGGTGTGAAGCAGAACATTTGTTGAGCAAAAGCAGAGATTAGGATTGAGAATCTAGAATATTGGCTGTGAAATTCTCTGTGGAAAATCTTGGACAAGTGACTTTGCCATCATGATGGAGTGTGGGGTTTTTGGCCTGGAGTGTGGGGATTGCTCTAGTTTCTCCTTGGCTCTCATCTACTCTGTGGAAGTGGTGTGAAAGAAAAAGCTGATTTTTAATATCCTCGAACTCGGAAGGATATTTCTAATTAAATGACAATTCATTCTATTTAGGGAGCCACTCCAAGCCCATGGAGTTGAATCATCCATTGGAATGGCTGGTGCTCAAACATAAAGTCCTCCTGAGATCAAACCCAGTGCCTGAGTATGTTGCAGGACTGAAATCCTGAAGCCACCTGCAATGTCCCAAAGAACTATTGGGCAAAGAGGAACAATCCTAACTTCTGTCCACTTTTGCCATTAGGCCATCTCCAGCAGCAACTGGACATTGGAACATCTTGTGTTTCAGGAGTGACCCGATTACCTCACCCTGCACTGAGCTCTGGTGGCAACCCAAGTAGCACACATGTTCACAACATTTTGTTTGGGTCTGACTGAGCCTGCAGACTCCTGGGGGAGAGTCTTGTCTCTTTCTGTTCTGTGCCAAGCACACTGTCAGGGGAAAACAGGAAAAACTGTCCCTGAGACTGGCTGAGGGCAGTGGAGTTGTGATGTCTGGCACCTGCGAAAGGGGAGGATGCAGAACTCTGGCCTGTTTTCTAATGGTTTCCTAAAATTCTCACCATCTGATCTTTGTTTGTTTGTTTCACTCTTTAATTACAAAACCAAACTGTAATGAGCATCTGCCTGGATCTGCTCCCAGCTTTCTCTTCTCAGATGCTATCAAGAGGAGCACTGAGCCAACTTTGTTGCCTTGTGAGTGCAGTGTGAGCTTGTATATCTATGTTCAGACATATGGTTGACTAAGGGGAGAAGACAAAATCTTCCATCCTATCCCTTAGCATGCACTAGACTGTATTAATTTCATATGCATTTGTCTTCTCATTGTAATTCTAAGGCACTGCTCATTTACTCTGATTTTGCATCTTGTTAGTAGCTTGCCTCCTCTGGGAGATTTTTCTTCACTCTCAGATCCTTTATCACAAACACCTGATATTCATCTTATTCTGCCTTTCCTGCCTCACTGAAATCAGTAACTCCAAATGCATTCAAATGTTCCTTATCCTCACAGTGCCATTGAGGGCTGTAGGGCATTTTACAGACTAAGAAAAGGACCCACTATGAGTACTGTCCATACACACAAATTAAAATAATCATCATATACAGTGTCCTGGCTTACATAGTCACCTCTTCCACGGAGCCCCATGTACAGTGAAATAAACTCCAGGTCTGGCAAACTGCTAAAAAACAACAGGTAACATTTGTTTGCCAAATTGAATATGCAAAGGAGGAGCTGAATTAGAGCTTGTGTCTTTTCCCAGTCCATCACTGCCCTGTCTGAACTCAAAATCCAAACAACTACATGAAAGAAACCCCAGCAAATTTAATTAATTTTGGAGATTTCCTCCCTGACAAGGCTGTGGAAAAGCTGCCTCTTGGGCTGCAGTGGGAAAAATCTTCCTCTAATCAAATCGTTACTGATGGATGTTTGGGTGAATGGCCTCTTCCTTTCTTTGTGGGACTGCTCTCATCTCATGGCTCACAAGCAGAAAGGATGGAGGACTGGACTGGGAAAACAACAGCATTCCTCGGAGTGCTTTTAATGAGATGGAGCTGGACCAAACCCCTGGTTAACAGCTACTAAAGATTTTTCCATCTTGGGACTCCAAGCCCCTGAGAAAGGTACATTGCCCCATTTTGTAGCAGGCAGAAAGGCAGCCTGACCTCTTATCTGATCAAAAGCAAACATTCCCAAAATTTTCTGACTCTTGCTCTCCCCTGAGTCCAAAAACTACCCCAACCAGGTGTCTCTCTGCCATCAGAATTACTCATGCAGGTATTAAAGTGGGTCAGCTCAGCTACCCATCACCATAGAGTGGTAGTGTATGGAAGTCAGTGAGAGGCATGGCAAAGTTCAAGAGAAGCTTTGCAGCCTCTGCAAACCTTTATTTTGCTGTGTTTTGCACTACTTGTTACTTGCAGCTATGGCACGAGCTCATGCAAGGACCACCTTTACAAACAGACTAATTAGCCTTTGGGCAACTCCCCTTCCAAAATCTTCAAAGAACTTGGAACTCGGCCTACTTAATGCCTAATTCAGGTTTCAGCCTCTCAGATTTCCATGCAATCCCTGTTTCTTGGAGCTGGCAGTCTGCAAAGCCCAAGATGGGTAAACATGCATCCTTCTGAGTGCTGCCTGACCGTGCCACTTGGCCTATGCTGTTATATTATACCTCTCAGGCTGGATTTTGTCTGTCTGTCTGGGAGACTGTGGGTAGCATTTCCTTAAAAGTACAGCAGGCATCTGGGTAGAAATGAGATAAGGGGAGGGACAGAGACTGGAGGTTGACCTGTTTTCCCTTGTTCTGATAAAGGTCCCTGCTCAGCACTGGCAGAGGGGCACTTGCTCTGAAATACTTTCTCATTGCTGTGTGACACAACCAATTCCATTGTTCTTGGGCCAAATAGGAAACAGATGCTCACTGTGCTGACACCAGATCCTACAGCCTCTTCCCTTGCTCACTCACTGCTTGGCATCATACTTGCTCATTTAGTGTGGGCAGCTCAGTTCTCTGTCTGCCCCAGGAGATCCTTCACTATCCCATATTCTGTTCCACTGAACTCTTTGTTTGGTGTTAGCCTTAACCCTCACCCTCCACTTGCTAAAGTTAATGGGATTCACTTTTTTGGCCCCGGGGTCTTTGGAATCTGGCTCAGCAATTCAAGGTAATGGGATACAAAAGTTGCAGGTCAGGCAACTGATCTGTGTCCTAACCACTCTCTAAAAGGGTTATTTGTTGGTGTGTGCAGATAGGATCTCTGTGTGCAGACCCAGAGAACACCAGAGCCACACACTGGGATGGGAAAGTTGGAAAAGACATTAACAAGAGTGAGAGTTATTTAGTATAAACAACTTCAGCTTTTCTTCTCTCCTTGTCCTGAACCAGAACATCTGATACAGCAACCTGGCTCCTCTATCATCCCCCTGTTCCCCTCACCCTGTCCTGTCTGCTGGTGTTACTCTGCTGCCTGGGGTGGCAGCAGGATGTGTTTAGTTTTGCAGCCTTCCCATGTTTAAAGTTCTCTGGGTGATTTATCATCATATTTATAAATGAAGGGTTAAACTCACTCTCTTTCAGTTTAAATTGTATGATTCTCCTTCTGGCAAGCTCTCACTCAACTCTGGCTCAAACTGGCCAAATATGGTGTTTTTGTGCATGTCGACCATGCACTATATGTGGTAGAGCTTGTTCTGTGTGTCTCGTGCTCAGCCTGGGGAGGGTGGGTTTGCTGACAGTGGGAACAGAGAGAGAGAGAGAGGGAATGAATCCAGCTGCTGAAAGGGAAAAACTGGG